GAACTGTACGTGCTGTATAGCTAGTAACAACGAAATTGAGCCAGCTAAGTGCATGTGTTAGTTTTCCCTATGGGGACAATTTTCAAAACGAGTAATAAGTATACATCTTATTTTTTCGATGCTTCATCTGACATCGGTACTGTTGGATTTTATTATAATTTTGACGCGTCAAAATAAAAAGAATTTTAATGTAAGTGATGGTAATGTGCGTACGTTAACATTATTTTTATTTTGACGCGTCAAAATTATGTTAAAATCCAACAATATCAATGCGAGATTGAGCATCGAAAAAATAAGATGTTGACTTATTACTCGTTTTGAATTTTGCCCCCCTAAGGGAGACTAACACATGCACGTAGCTGACTCAATTTCGTTGTTACTAGCTGTACTACACGAAAATGGTAATTAGGCAAGTCATAGAAATTGTAATGTAACCTTCATACAATAGTAATGTAAAGGGTTTGGATAGAACAATCAGAGATTGCAAATAGACATTGGTCGAATAATTGCACACAGACAGGAAGCGTATTAAACAGAGAAATTAAACTAGTAATTATTGTATCTTTTTTTATTTGACGAACGAACGAAGTTCAATATACATGGATCCAATTAATAACTGACGTTGAATTTCACGAGAATGGCAAGTTGAACCAGCGAGCCATAGAAATAGTATTGTGATCAGTGCAGAGTAATGCGAAGAGTTTGTATGGAGCAATCAGAGATTCTAAATGAACGTTGATCCAATAATTGCATAAAGACAGGAAGCGTATTAATCAGACCTGATGATCTATAGTTACTCGTTGGCGTTATCGCGTAGACGGCCCGTACGATACAGTTTACTTAACGTCAAGATAACGAGGCCGTGAGTGGATGTTGGACGAGCCTTCATGAATTACCGACTTAATTCTTCCGGGCACGAAGGCGCGAGAATGCATTTAACATCGTTCGCCCGTAGACGCCGTTCGGCGCCGCCGCCGCCGTACAGTTTTGGTGCGTCAACTTTGCTAATGCTGTTAACTCGTATCCTAAGGCCAACGTCAACCCCTTCCGTTGCTCCTCCTAATCATAGGGACGTTGCGAGGCCTGCGTGTCGTGCCTCGTCGAAAGCAGTGCGTAATTCGATCAAGCCTCCGCTCCGCTACTCGCGAGACGTTGCTTCGAGGGATTAGCTTTTTCGAGGTTCCGTCGAACTCGATACGAAAGGGATTATAATACCCGCGACACGTTGCGATCGCTCCCCCCGATTGCATCGACGAAATTCTGTCGTTATTTCAGTGTATCGAAATTTTATTTTCCTCTTTCGACACCCACGCTTTATTTAACGTTGTACTTGAACGTTTCGGTCAGAAACGAAAATGTTTTCGAAACATCTCCGCCGACGTATATTTCATTTCACTCCGACGGTGTAATAAAATTTATAGCGCGCATTCGCAGCGTTCAGTTTCCACACTATTAAAAATCATAGCTCCCATAAAAGTCGACCCTTGACCGCACTTCGCCACGTATGTACATTTTAAAAATAGTATACCCTTTGAAAACAGTCGAGACCTTTGAAAAACGCGATTACTTCGTTCCATGTATTAATTTCGTTTTCTGAAACGTTTTCACGAAGTCGTCGGGTCTCGTCTCGGCCCTTTCACGTCGATTAGCAGGCTGCGCCGCGTTGCCCCGTTACGGAGGCTGCTCAAAGTCGGAAACACGGTTTTTACGGACGTCGCGCGAATGAATGTCGCATAAAAGGTGCGCAGCCGGCGCGAACGCCCACCATTTCCGAGATTGCGATCCGTAACGGCAACACCAGTCGACCCGGATCAACGAAAATTGCAACGAACGACGCTGCACGTACGCCCCGTCGGATTTATTAGCTGATTATGACGGATCCGATCGATCCCACATGCTCCGAACAGCGAAACTCCCGGAACCTTATCAGTCCATGTTTGTCGAAACGAAATCATGGATTCTCTTTAACGGAAAACGTTCAAGGTAAAGGGCAGAACTGGTGGAGTCATAATTAGGTGGATGAAAGAAATTAATAAAAAAGTATAGTAATTTTACTATTATTTTTATGCTAAATATTTAATAGATTTTAGCTCCAAAATTAATAATCCAAAATTAAATTAATTAGCTTAAGTTTAATGAGTTGATGATTTGGTTTTCCAAGTTCCTAATGAGTGTCTCATCTTGATTCGTATGCAGAATTAAAAGAGGCACAGCTAATCTGAACTTACAATTCCTACCATAATTAGTGCTCGTCGTAGCAATGAATTCTGATCAATTTCTTGCACGTTGTTAAAACACGAGTCCCGCGCGCGGCGGGCCGCCTAATTCGACGCGTGGTGCAAAAACTGGGGACATTCTGTTTTTAAAAGGGAGCTTAGAGCGCGCATCGAAGTTTGTTAACGAGAATAACTATGCCGGACTAAACTATGAAGACGAAGGCGTTGTTGTACATCGCGAAAGTTTCGCGAAGAAACCGACCGCGCTCCTAGTCATTCTTCTCTGAAATTCTCGTTAAAAAGTTTTCCAAACCTCCCACTCGCGCCCTCGTCGGCCGGCTGATATTCCAATTTCGCCGCCGCGCATCCACCTACCCTCCTTTTTTTCTCTCCTCCACCCCCGCCCCGGTTCGAGATGATCCGCATAACAGCGTGATTTACGAGGGGTCGTGTACACGCGTCCCGATCGAGTTATCGATGCGTCTCGCCTCTGGTTCGACTCCCAAAGGTTTCATCCGTAACTGTTTGCGACGATAAAATAGTATAATTTGCGTCCAAACAATGGAAATGGACTTAAACTTTCGGACGATAAAGAAGAGAGGGGAAAAAAGTTCCATCCCCTGACTCTGTCCCCGATAAAGATTGGAATGTTAAATTCAGAGCCGCAGCCAGTGCCTCCAAATACAGTTTTAATAACAAGAACTGTTCTCTTGTGAAACGAAACACTGACGTGTACTTATGGATAATACAAAAAATGCTTCAAATAAAAGTTGTTTTCCTTCTAACTTCGATATTTAACGAGTTAAGTATGATTATTTGGCATTTTATAGATCTTGAGAAAATCCGGCCGTCCCACCGTCGAAATGGCGAACTTTTGACTAAAAATTTCGTTTTTCCTTAATAACTCCTAAACTGTTGGTCCTACGGGAAAATTGCATAGAACCTTTCTTGTAGAGGACGACGAGATCTACAATTTCCGTGTAAAAGTTCCTCGATAGTATCAATAGTTTACGAGTAATTTGCAAAAAACTGTTTTTTCGTTTTTCGTCCATAACTTTTTAAATATTAATGCTAGCGAAAAACTTTTATATGGAAATTGTAGATCTCGTCGTCCTCTACAAAATGGNCGTCTGATTTCTTTTTAAAAAATGCGTTTCTAAAGTGCATAAACTTTTGGGATTGACTGTATAGCCAATACATCCTTAAGCTGTAAACGAATATTGCTTGGTTGTATTTCAGCGTAGGTGCGCGTGTCTTTTATTAGGCACAGTCAGAGAGATTGAAAGCACTAAAACGGTGCGTTTTCGATATAGTTGAACGTTACCTCGTTAACAAGAGATAGCTATTGTTCCGTTGCATTAAACCACGCTCGCCTGTCTGCGTTGTCGATCGATCTTTCTTTCGTTTCGGCGGTTACCGTTGTATTCGGTAATTTCACGCCCACGTGAAAGTGCAAGCCGATCCGGAATTTCGGTCCCGGGGAATAAAAAAAAAAGAGAACTGCAAGTAAATCCACCTGTAAAGTTGAATGCTCGCAGAGTAGCGGGGACGGTTCGCGGGTCATAGAGCACTATGAGATCGTGTTTACAATATAATCAACGGGAGCATACACGTGATATCAGGTTTTGTTTGCAAACTGCTAAATGGATCCAGTTATCCTCGTCCGGGTTGTCAAAAGGACGCGGACGTGATTATAACACCGGTTGCGTGAAATCAAATCCGTGCCCGGTGAATCCTTTGAAGAAATTGACAAGATTTCCAGTGAAACGGTCCGTTCAATTTACCCAACACACATACATTATTTATACATCAAAATCAAAGGGGAGGGGGTTCAGTCTCGTCTGCGTATTTTTTCTTCTAGCAATTTCAGATTTCCATCTCATTATTCTTCCATCGTTCCACGGGGCTTAAAACAGGGTGCGCACACACTATTAATCATTCTAATCGCGTTTTTTTCTCCCAGCGCTGCAGTAGATTCAGACGGTCTGTCCCGGCGAGACGCGAACCATCGTCCCACGCGTCCATCGATTCGTCCCTGTCTTACCGACCAGTTCGCGGATTTCCGCCCATCTCGCGAACAGTGTGGGGGAGTATTCGCGTTGGGCCTGCGCAGCTTTGTGCCCGCTGCGTCGCTCGACGCCAGTCTGTCGGAGGTTCAAGTGACGGAAAGATCGGCTCGTCTGATCCACCGCGGAATCCTCGTCTCTCGCGTCCTCGTCCTTCCAGTGCCGCGATACTCGCGATCTACTTCGGGTGCCGGATAGCATTCGCCACCACGTGACAGGAGGATACTCTCGGAGTACGTGTGCAGTGGGTGAACAGTGTGACCAGTGCCGCGTGTGTCGTTTAACTGGGGGTCGCGCGCATCCAACCGATTTAACTTAGTCGCGTCGTACCGAGGGACCGAACCCTCTCCTCATCGCAGATTCATTGCGTCCCCTACGTCGTCGTCGTCGTTACGAGAACGCGCAAGGGCCGGGGTTTTCCAGGGAATAATTCTGCCGCGGGCAGACTGCCGGACAGAATGGAGCGGCACGCAGTGTGACGGTGTACGTTTTTCGTCGGTCCGTCACCGATCGACCGTCGACGGCTCTTGGACAATAATATTTGCCACGTCCTTCTGACTGTCGACCGACCAATCTCGCGGGAGTATGCGTGTACACATGTGCAGACGAAGACGAAGAAGAAGTAAAGAAGGAACATTGGCGAGGCAGCGGAAGGGGGCCATTTAAGAAAGTTCGGTCCGTCCAGGATAGAGAGTCTCGTGCATGTGTGTCTGTACGTGTGCGACACGGTCTCGTGGATTTCTGCAATAAAACGGCGGACGCGATTTCAGCTGCCGGCTCGCTGCTAACCCGACCCCGTAAGGATGAAGCGAACCGGTAAACATCGGAACCGTGGCTTTCTTCTTGGGATCATCAGGGCGGGAGCTTTTTACCTGTACCGCCATATCAAGCACGCTATAAAAAACGAGATCGTCTTCCTGTGAATCAGCGACAGACAGGACCGACCTCGTTCCCGAGAGCTTGATGAAACAATCAAAATACCGTCCCCGAGAGCTTAGCCCACCAAGTGGCGCGCAGCGCGGCAGTATTTATCTTTCAGAACGCTGACTCGGGGATGTCTGCGGCCGCGTGTTGACCGTTCCCGGAGAGCTGTCAGCAGGTTCTCCCCGACGAGCTGGACAAACAGCGCGGATCGTAAAAAGGGACACGGTTTGAACAGCCTCGACGAATCTCGGTGGAAAGACTCGATCGAGTCCGGGTAGAACGTCGAGCCACGAATTATGTGAAAGTGGAACGAGAACTTGAATTGGCGAACCCTTCGGGCTTCGAGTCGGACTGTCTCGGGGTTTCGAAACTTCGGGACTGATGCATCCTGGACGCGCATTCTGTCCTCGTGGCGGCGAGGCGGGCACGATCGCGCGCGCACCGGTTCCCGATGGCGGGTAGGATCTCCGGGAAATGAAATCGTCGATCGGTATCGAGTGATCGGGTTTCGAAGGTTCTACGAAGATGACGTCGTCGGTGCTTGCGCTGCTTGGGTTGATCCTGGCCACGGCCAGCGCCGAGCTCACCTCGAGGGTCGTCAGGACCAAGTACGGGGAACTGTCGGGCGTTATCATGGCCCTCGATCGGCAGCATCTCGAGGGCGTAGAGGTGTACCGTGGCGTTCCGTACGCGTCGCCGCCGACCGGATCGCTCCGTTTCATGCCGCCCGTCAGCGGCGCGTTATGGCGTGGAGTCAAGGTGGCCGACAAGTTTGGGCCCGTATGTCCGCAACGTTTGCCGGAGCTCAGCGACAAGATGCCCAAAGGGAGGGTCGAGTACCTCAGGAGGTTGCTGCCGTATCTGAGGAATCAAAGCGAGGACTGCCTCTACCTAAATATCTACGTCCCGGTTCAAGGTAAGCAACTTTTCTATCATTTTCAGGGGGTGGAAAGTATAAATCCGGTATTATTACCGAATACGCGTTTGCCATATGGCTATAATAGTACATTGTGTACCTAGGGCGCAAAATAGGGCATTCTAGCACCGGCACGAGTGTGAATTTCGCCCAAGCGAAGCGAGGGCGACAAATTCACACGAGTGACAGAATGCCCTTTGCGCCCTGGTGCACATACTATTTTTTGACACGCCGGGCGAGAAATTAATCGATAACAAAAGCCATCGAAGTTGTAATTATATCATTTTCCGTCTTTTCCGCCCTAGGGCGGGAATGTGCTATTTTGCGCCCGCTAAACATGCACGAGAAACCGAATTTCGCGCCCGGAGTGTCAAAAAATGTATTAGCAGTCGAATCAGACGTGGCTAATAAATCTCTGATTTTTATCAGTAACAATGAACATGCGTGGTCCAGTGAACAGTCCAGGGAAGACTTTAAATTCGTCAGAGTAATATACGATTCGTGCCGCGTGTAAGAAGTATGATAAAAATGGCGAATGCACGCTTGGCTGGTTCCGAACGTGTATATCTTTCAATCAAACCTTTCGTTGACCCGTGCGCCTCGAGAGACTCGCCGCGTATTCGGAAAGAATTTCTTTGTATCGCGCGCATCTGTACTTCCCTTTATTTCGCCGAGACACGCGTGGAATTCTGTGAAAAATAAATGGCTGCCATAGTTGCCAGATACGGGCTGGGAGAGACGAATGATTCACGTGTTTATCTTTCTGCAAAAACTGCGTACAAGCTTACTTTCGCGAGAGGTCTTCGTTATTTTTCGCTGGTAATTCATGTTAAACGCGTCGCCAGGAATATTCCAAACGCTGTCTCGAAAAAATCTAGTTAGGCGTGTTCAGTCTGGTGCACCTCTGTCTCTCGGTTTTTCATTCCCAACGGCGGTGTTCTTTGTGCCCGACGATTGCGAAGCCTTTTCGAACGACAGGAATGCATGTCGATTCTTCATCGGGCTTTCATCGATGCCCCGTCGTTGTAATAGGACTCCTCGATGCATTTCTGTCCGTCTAAATGGGTAGCGTGGATTAATTTCGATACAAGAAAGGAAGCGAAGAGAAAGGAGAACATGGAAACAGTTCTCCTCTTTTACAGCGATATTAGTGGTCGGCATGGAAATGAATATGCTCGTTCGATACACGCGAACGAACGTTATTGCGATTTCCCTCTGTTCTTATATGTATTCCAGATTCTCTTACGTTACATTTCCGGGAACGTTGAATATCGCTGGTCCAAGTTTACGTTCCAACTTCTCGCCTCGTAACAGCGGATTTTTATACAAAATAAAACAATTCAATATAGAAGCTGTATTCCAAATAAACATTGTAATATGCACCGTTCAACACTTTCCATAAATTTTAACATGGCGAGTATTAAATTTCTCCAGAAATTCATAAGATGTATAAAAAATAAATTTGCATGGTTGGACGTCGGTTTTTTAATTTTAAGTTCCATTGAGAATCGACCGAGTCATTTACTGATATAAAAATCAGACAGACTATTGGCGGAGGATCAGGCATAACCGCGAGCAAATCCTGTTCCTAATCCAGGCTCCGGTGGAAAAAAAAGTTGTCGCCATCGAAATCACAACCGCGATTCTAACTCGTATAACGCGGTAGTATTTCAGAATAATAACCCAGCGGCGAGCCATTGTTCCAAACAAAGAATCCATGAAAACGGCCATTAATTTGCCGATTTGAATGGGAAGTGTTATTTTACAACCGGGTGTTCGCTTCCCATAAATCGTTTTGCACCCGTGGAATTCACCTGATCACCCTGTACCCCTGCAAAGCGTCCGCCCCTCCCCCCGTG